GTTGGCAATGACAACATCTTTAATTATTTTAAAAATGCCAAAGATATCCTACCACAACACCTATAGTGTAGTGCATGTTAGTGTGAGTATAAGTAAGGGGTAAGGATAAACCAAAGAAGAAGAAGGATCCAAGGAAGAGGGAGCCAAATAAAGATCATGCACAGTCCTAAGCTCGTCTGTTAGGGTACTGCTCCGGCATTCACCTGATGTTGATCGGAGAAACCACAGCAAAAAACAACAGATGGCCACTAGAATTCTCCTCCAGACAGCGACTGAATTGGAACTAGCTGACTAGCTATTATGTAACCGTTACTAAGTGTGAGAAACATGCTGCGGTAGAACATCAATAGTTTAATATTAGTTTTTTATTACTCATGGGGACGTCTAAACCAAAAAATCTTTTGGTAGCATATTTTATATTATCATAAGTAATAACATGCAACACAAAAAACAAGTTTCTCTCAGGCTCCAAAGTAATGATACAATCCCAGGGAACCTGGAAATGATGTTATAGATATGTAATATACATGTATAGCTTACCCTGTACGATTCGTCATCAGGAGAGAAATTCGTAACAGGTTGCTCATTGTCAACTTCAAATTCCTGTCGAGGAATAGCCTGCACAAGTGTCAATCTTTCTCCACTTTGATCCCTTATCCAGCAGCTGCTAGAATGCTGGCGATAATTGTGTTTCACTACAACCCAGTCAGCAGTATAACATTGCACGCAGTCACGCACATGCGAAGACCACTGCTCTCTGAAAACATAATAACATAACTGAGATGTTTCTTTTTTTCATACAGCTCCTTAAAATAATATTTTGAATAATCAGTCATATCTTGAACTAATGTTTTTTCCTTCCAAAACAAAGTCCAGAGGTTAACCCCAATATCTATACATTAAGAAGCATATGGAATAGGCATAATTATTGACATTAGAGAAAAGACAAGTTATGGAAGCAACATCAGCATGAATTAAGAGTTTGAGAGAAAGTTGTTAGAAATTCCATAATTTTAAACCTTTAACTTTATAAAAAAAAAGTCATTTGTTGGAGGTAAGTAATAATCCATAATTACAACCATCAATTTGAGAAATTTATCATCAATTTATCACAGTAGAAATGGGATCTGCACAAAGCCCTGATCAGTTATAATAAAAAAGAGTTATTTTATTTGTTTTTTAAATTTATTTATTCATTTTTCATTGATTAATTCACATTGATTGATTCATTCGTTCATTTGTTCATTCATTTATTTATAACATGCAATCACCCAATTCAAATAGATATATACAATATAAAATTAAGTAAATCAATATTTAATTAAAGCCATTCAAAAAATAATTTTGCCAGATGCAGAAACAAGAATGAGATTTATCTAGAGCAACATTCATACCATTATAGGTTCTTAACATATATACATATAACATGATATCATATATAACATGATATATGATATATATATCAGATGATGATATCTATGATATCTATCTCACATTCTGGTAATAGATTGAGAATTGTGAGGATTGCCTGTCAATCATTTTTCCTGGGAAAATACTTTTCCAGAGCTTTTCACATATTTATCCACAAAAGTAGGAACTCCATCAATATATTCAATAAATTTGTTTGTGTTGCGATTCTCATGTTCCACTTTCAGCTGAGTAATAGTACTTTTCAAATGTTCACCTTGTTTCAAAGTATGGTCAGGACCAAATTTCACTGGGCGCTTGAACTTATTTTTATTCCTCAAAATATCTAAAACAATAACAGCTCTTGAAAATGTGACCTTAATTGGCCTTGGTATATGACTGGTATTTGAAGAAGATAGAGTAATATTACTTAAACGTGTAGATGAATAATTACTAAGATTAGAACTTGTTATTTCAGATAGCAACGATGAAATCAATTACTTATTTTTATCGATTTTTTGTTGCTTAGGTTGATGGCTTTGGCTCTCATCAATATCAAAGATAAGTAAATTTCTCAAATGTTGTTCATGGTCTACACACTCAACATAAATATCGTCAAAATTTAAATTTAAAGTGGAAGATATACTTTCCTGACACATGAAAGAACTTTTCAGATTCTGAACTTCTTTCAATAGTTTTTCATTCAAATCTTTTAGCACTTCATAATCATATGATTTCATAGACTCTATTTTGTGATTTAGCTGAACAAAAGAAAGTTTTACGTCCCCCCGCTATCAGTTACTTCACATTTATCACAAAAGAGAGAGAGCACAGGCACAAACCAGGTCGTGAGAGCAAGGGCCATGCATATGCATGTTGGATCCATTGGGTCACAACACGCGTTAGCACATCACTAACCATTAGATGACAAAATGCATTGGTTTATAACATTGTGTGGAGTATAAAATGAATTTCTAGCATGAACAATACAAACTGAAACAATCAGTTCATTGAGTGAACTGAATGAATGAAATACAAATAAACACAAAAAAGTTGTTTGCTTCGTTAATATTCTTTTAATACTCTCTACATTAATAAATTTAATAGTACTCTCTATTGGGGTCTAGCCCCCAATACACCACTATTGAAGTAATAATGAAGTAATAGTATTATTTTTAAATTACAGTAATAATATGTCTGCTTTGTGTAACATGAATGTTTAAATGTATCATGTAAATGATTGAGTTGCTCACATGTTCATCTGTTCACATTGTAAAAAATCAATGCCTTTCTGGTGTACAAAATTTTTCGTGTCAAAGAAACAGGCACCATAAACTTGCAATTTACTGAATTTGGAAACAGAAACAAGTAAAATTAGACCAATCTTCAAACTAGAAATAAAAAGAAATCGATTGTTCTTAGTCATTCTCCTAGGAAATAGGCAAAAAAACAGCATTAGATTGTAACCCTCTATGAGCTCCATGATCCCTATATCTTACCAACCTAAGGAGTTTGTCCAAAATCAAGAAGACATAGAAGAAACGACAATAACAATGTCAACATTATACTTACAATGGTTCTTCAGGTACAACAGGGTCTGCAGTTCGAATTTTGCGAGGTAATACCACAACCTCAATGTCATTTTGTGGAAAATCCAGGACGTCATGTAGTGGATCTCGATCTATAAGAAGTTGATGTTGCTGAATAAATTCCTCGTAATCTAATGGATCAACAGCATCGCACAAGGATACCTGTAACAAAAAGGTAAAAAATACCTACATTAACCCAAATCATTTAATATTTATTTACTATGAGTACAGAGAGAGCATTACAGAGAAATTGAATTTATAATTTTTGTACAAAGAAACTCTGCTTTGCCATTTGATAATAAATACTGAAATGTATTAGAAATTCAAACTGTCATTTACAAGTGTAACTTACGGGTGAAGAGGCAATATTGTGGAACGAACTATAATGATCATTCAACATACGACATCTGATGTTTTTGCGGTTTATTTTACACAGAAGAAAACATTTACAGTTACTAATTCAAATGTTCGATCACTTAAAATTCTCTTCGGAGTTTGAGTTAAAGAAAGTTCGCTGGATTAAACGGTATACATGAAATCAAAGAATGAAACACTACTATCAATTTTGAACCAATTCAGAAAGAACATTTGTAACAAAACACTTCTAAAGGTAAATTCTGCAGCAAAATTGTAACATTTACTGACATTTTCGAAAGAAAACAATTAGCAGATAAGGACATGCAGGAAAAAAAGGAATATCACAAAACATAATTGAATCGGTTATTTTTAAAACCCTTAAGTCAGAAATTGTAAAGTTGTGGGAAAAAAAAAAAAAATAATAATAATAATAATAATAATAATAATAATAATTAAGTGCAAAGAGTGTTTATGTATTTCTAGTTTATGACTTACGGCATTGCAAAAACTAATGAGGAATTTTTTACCTAAACATGTAAATAAATACACATTGCAGGTATTTGACACATTGATTACAATATTATGTGAAATTACAATGTACATCTACATCAAACATGATTCATAAGACAAAAAGTTGAAAATATGGGTTTCTATGTTAGTACATGGGAATATTTCCGTATAGAACATTCCTTTTAACAGATCTCTGTCAGAGATATCCCAGTCAAACACACTGTACATACATGCAAACAGTTGACTCCAGTTATAGTGAGCGTATGTCACTGGTCCCATTTTACTTACATTACAAATAAGCATAAGGAGATTTGGTTATAGTAAACTCTGAACTCTCTATAGTGATGTAGGAAATATGGCCTGTGAAATAACAAATGGATCTTGAATGTTATTAGGCCTTAATGTTAAAGGGCCTTCGGTGCATAGGACTGTATTCCAACAGAGGCATTGAAGGATGTCAAGACTACATAGTGATATTTAGAGACAGTGGACAATGCAGAATTGATTATGGAGAGAGCACAAACGCGACAAGGATTTAGAGATAAATGCTAATGAACAATGTACGCAGCAAACAATTGAAAATAATTTATCTTTTAAGATCAAATAAAGATACAGAAAATCTTCAGTTGGTGCTATTAATGTATTTTGCTGTAATATCTCTATATTAATAAAATTAATCATTCTGGAGAAATTTTAATTATTTTTATATCATTGGATGTAGTGCACCTCTGATATAGTAAACCAAAAATATTAGTCTCCAGAAATGCACTATAACCAGAGTAGACTATACATACATACATACATACATACATAACCCTGTAAGCCTTACATCAGTCGTATGCAAACTTATGGAACATCTAATTTCAAGCTATATCAGGAAAGAATGGGAGGGTAGGAAGTGGCTTTATCAGGGTCGGCACGGTTTCAGAAAACATTTCTCATGCGAAAGTCAGCTAGTCTCACTTCTACAGGAGCTAGCCAACGTGGTTGATGAAGGGAAAAGGGTCGACACGATAGTAATAGATTTTTCCAAAGCTTTTGATGTTCAACACGATCGTCTTATAAAGAAATTAATAGATTCGGGTATAGACACTAGAGTGGTAGCCTGGATAAACGAACTACTTTGAAACAGGAAACAGAAAGTTCGAATCGGTAGTGACTTATCAACCTCGAGAAACATCACATCAAGAATTCCACAAGGGAGTGTAATCAGACCACTCATGTTTCTGGCCTTCGAGAATGAACTGCCAACTAATTTAGCTTCAAATGTACGACTCTTTGCAGATGACTGCGTAATCTATAGGATTATCAACTCTGAGAAAGACGAGATATTTTGCAGCGAGACTTAGACAAATACAATCTGGGCAGAAACAAACGGCATGGGAAAATAAACAGTTCAAAGAAGAAGTTCCATCACGTTTGGTAGGGGTCGAGTTACAATGAATCTGCATACAAACTGAACAATGTTATACCTCGAGTCACGTCTTGCAAATACTTCAGGAATACAGCTAGACATTAATTGAGCTGGCGAAAAAATCAAGTCCAATTTCGTTGTAGGGAAAGCCTGGAAATCTTTACATTTTGTTATGCAGATACTGAAAAAGAGTACAGTGAGAGCCAAAGAACTAGCATAGATGTCATTATGCGACCTATATTAGAATATGGCACTTTATGTTGGGACCCAGTACAAATTTGCAACAAAGAATATAGAAAAAGTCCAGAGTTAGAGCATCAAAATTTACTTTCAGGGGTACCAAGAATTAAAGGGTATGGGAATCACTCGAAAGGAGGAGATTAAATTCACGTCTCTATGCAATGTATAAAGCGTACACAGGCCTTCGAGCGTGGAAAAGAATTCAAAAATCAATTAGGAAACCTTAAATATTGCGACAGAGCGGATCCACATGCACAAAGAATTCAGACAAGAATTCAGAAACACGGACGTTGGGAAATATTCACCACCCCCCCCCCCTCCGAATCGCACTATGAGACTGGAACAGTTTTGCCTGTGGGACAATTTCGATCCCTTTCCTCAAAGGCCTGAGCGAATGTTAAAAATAAATTAGTTTCTTGAATGTAATATGTGTATAAATATATTTAATAAAATTCAGTGTAATTACCTATGGTCTTCTTTGTAAATTAAAGTTACTATTATTATTGTTTTATTATTGTTGTTCAATCAATTCTTACTGGTTGTGTGTTATTATTATTATTATTATTATTATTATTATTATTATTATTATTATGTGCAGTGCAGTGACGTTGTGAAACTGAGAGAAAAAATGTGAATAAGAAAGACATTACAGCTCGCTGTATCGCAGTGCGGTGCAGTAAAGTGTGGTGAAGTGAAGTTTGATGAAGTGGAGTTCTATGAAAGATTGCATGGTGAAATGTTCATGTGATTTTGTAAAGTTTGTAGATTTTGTATAGTTGTTAAGTTCTGTAATGTTAAGTTAGTGTATTCTGCCACCAAGTTCTCATATTTAATTGCAGAGTTATTAATAAATCTAATCTAATCTAATAAATAACCCGCAAGTCAATGACTTGGTGATTAAAAATCTAACCAACACTTTGCAATGTCCTTGTGGCCATTCTATTGATCCGATTAACAGGATTTAGACATGGAAGGATGCATCTACCTTGCAGCTACTATTTTCTCACAAAAAGAGAACATGCTAATGTGAGTAACTTATGGGGTTTTAAAAATAACCAATTCAATTGTTTATGATCATACAAACATTATTCTCAGATATGATAACTTACACAAGAAGAGTATCCTGATATACTCCCAGTACTTTTGCTTTGGTCTCTGGAATACGACGAGGCAATTTGTCTTCTTACATCTGCAGCATGATGCCTGCAAAAGTAGATCAACAGACAGCTGTAAATTTGTGATCAGTTAAAGTGGACCTGTGATTTGAACCTTTCTTTAAGATAATCACATTACAACACAAATATCAACAAAAAAAAATTCAGTATTTTCTAGAATAAATCCTTGTATGATTTCAACATTTAACTAAAGAACAACGAGGGAGTGGCAGTAACAGATTCATATAAAGTAAATGAAATCTTTAATTGTTACTTTTCATCAATAACACAACCAAATTACAACAACAGAATAAGAAGTGTAGAAAATACAATAACACATAATGCACTTACAAATTCCATGTTCTTGAATCCAACAACAGCTAAAGAGATAGAAAATATCAAAAAGAAATTACCAAACAAAATTCAGCAAGGTGGGATGGAGTATCAATTGAGGCACTAAAAAAGTGTGTTCATTCAGTAATATTTCCATTTGAACATTTCATTAACTCTGTACTTGAAAATGGAATATTTCCAGACATCTTTAAATTTGCAATAATTAAAACTCTCTTTAAAAATGGTGAGACAAACATGTCATCAAATTATAGGCCAATATCACTTATCAATGTTTAGTAATATAACAGAAAAGGTCATTCTAAACAGGCTGATAAGATATTTCAAAGGAAACTCACTTCTGTCAGACAATCACCACGGTTTTAGAAAAGGACGCTCAACAGTCACTGCAATCACCGATTTGTACAAAACTATTCTTGATGATGGATTGAAGGTTAGTGGAATATTTATGGATATGTCCAAAGCGTTCAATAAAGTGAAACATACCATACTCTTAGACACACTAGAAAAATATGGAATAAGGGGAATAGACCATAATCTACTGAAATCACTTGTAACTGAGAGCCAACAATCGACAGATATGCTCTACTTAGAAAATAACACCATAACAACAGATGCAGATCAAACACAATTACAACGCGAGATGGAGTTCCACAAGGATCAGTGCTAGGCCCATTCTTGTACATAGTGTATGTCAATAATTTTCAACCAACCAATGACACAAAACTTACAATATATGCAAATAATACAATGCTTCTACGTTGGCACAAATCACAAGATGAATTGAATAAATTAACTAAAAGCTGCCTATTAGAAACTGTTCAATCATACAATAAAATTGGTCTAAATGTTAATGTTACCAAAATAAATATAGTAATGTCCACACACAATCCTCAAGACAAAGAATCCATTACAACAAATATTCAAAATGAACCTACACCAAACGTACAATCATCAAATTCCTGGGAGTAGAGATGGACACTACCTTATCCTGGGAGGGTCACATGAACAGTGTGTAATAAACTGAGCTCAAGATTTTTTGTATTACGAAAATTTAGTAAAATACTAGGAGAAAGGGAACTAAAAGCAATTTATTATGGAATAATATATCCTCATATTCTGTAAGGAATTTATGTGGGGTGGTATATACAAAGCATATATATTTAGAATATTCACTTTACAGAAGCACTCATTTTGCATTATTTGACATGTAGAATATTGTGGATTTCATAGAATTAAAAAAATAATGAAATGTATTACGTTGAATCTATACGTGCAAGTATATGGATAAATATAAATATGAAACTTTGTATTATATATTAAAAAATTGTATGAATTAAATTGTATATTAACTGTATTGTATGCAACAATGTATATATTTTTTATATTGAATGTAATTATTTGTATACTATAGTTTTAAACATTATTTTGTAACACAGTAGTCATCCTATTTTACGAGAAAATGTATTTTTTATGTTAAAATAGTTAAAATTTGTGTTGGTCAATAGTTTGTTAAACTCAATTCATGACATGGTTTAAAATGGTACTTGTACTATCAAAGAACCAAAATAATTTATTATTATTATTATTCAAAAGAAACAATGAAATGGGCAGATGGCTCATTCAAGAATATCTCAAAATGAATTAAAATAATTTCAAAAATTGTCTTGAATAGTCATTTCCTTTCAAGTAACAGACAGTACACGAGAAATACAATCAATATGCACAAAAAGTTTTTCCCAAAATTTTCATCCAAAAAACTGAAGAGGGCTTGTGTAAGGGAGGTTTATATTTGATAAAATATGGTAATTTTATCTCTGTTACAATGTCTACACTGACAAAATTATAATTTTTCTCTATTTTCATTCTCATCTTAAAGTTATTATAATTATTGTACCAACAATTAGGATTATTTATCTTTAAAAATTTCTGGTAAAATTAATACTTACAGTAACTATGGCACTGTTTACTTCCTTTGTACCTACAAATAACACCTATTGCTCTTCAACAAGTATTTGACTTTTGCAATTTTGACAATTCAGCAAATCACAGCTAAACAAACTTAAACGTGAATGAAGCACATAAAAGGTAACGAAGATAAAAAATTGTATGATAATGCTATACAACATTATAATTCATATTACATACAAGTCAAGGGTAAACTGGTGGGCAAGCGAGAGTCAGAATCACATTCAATTCTGTGTATTGCAACAATAAGTAACTATTGGGAATATTTTAATGCTAATGATATACATTTCTCAAGTCTCAAAACACATAGGTAAGTGAAAATGCAAGCTACGAAACCTTGAAAAGCAAGGGAAAAAATTAATGCAATAAGTCGAACAGGTATATGATAATCAGCTCACTGACCGAAACTGTCAAACATTGAATGCCAGTCTGTGTTAAGTTCAATAATAATGCTATTAATTTGTATAATGCCTTTCACACATACACTGCAAGGATTGAATAAGAGCATGAGAACACTAATTTGCACTTGAACTTGTATATATGTCACTCTGTTGTTACAAATGGGTGCAGCTTATAGGAATTTTAAAAGATACGCCTCAGTTACCTCAGGATATTGTTTCCAAACAACAGAAAATAGCAATAAATTTCTCTAACCTCAAAAATACACATCTGTAGGCTGACAATCAATGTAACTATAATTATGATATACATTAGAAACGAAAAATTGATGCATTACTTTGATAACTTTTGAGCAAACGCTCGTTGAACTGATGCCATTGTCTCTCACGTAAAAAGAAATCGCATAGTCCGCATCAAAACTCCAATGGCAATAATTACACAACGTTGATGCCTATCTGCATTTCTTCGCACAATAGAAGACCAACTGTGCTGTTCTCCTGTGCAGAAAAATAACACATTTGTTATACACACTCATCACAATAATAACACTATTTACTGTATACACTGCAACAATAATTACAAATTGGACAACGATTTCCAATTGTTTATACCGCGTTCATATCCATTCACATTTCCGATGACAGAAATCCAGAACCAGAGAGTGATACCAGAACCACCAGAGCAAAGTCGTTCACGATTGAACGAACGGGTTCCGAAAAGGACTAACATCACGATGTAAGACACTTTCTTACATAGTGTCTAAAATACACCCTCAGTGAATCCACCACATTCAAATCTGACTACGTTCGCTTACTCCAGAGAAGAATTTTAAGAAAAAATGTTTATTGGCGCGCCGTGACCTGTAAGTTACAAGTCCTATGCCGATAGTCCCCCAGACTACGACGAGAAGTTTAGTAAACCAGCAGAAACAGTTTTATTCTAACTGCTTTGTTCACTTTGACATTTCAAACAAAAATTCCTCAAAATCAGTAAAACTACTTACATATCAATAAAACTTTACAAAATTATTTAAAGAGCAAATATTAAGAAATATATTGCATTGAGAAAAATGTTCGCTTCTATATTAAATGCGTAATTCAGGTTCGAAAAACATTCAGAATAAGTCGTTTTAGATGGATAAAAATCACCACCGTTTTATCTTCAAGTAAATAAACAAATGTTCCTAATTCCATTGTGTATTTTTTTTATTATTTCAGTCCCGTTTTTAAATTGTGGGCAACCGTAAATAATTATATCAGAATCCCATCATGACATTTATTATATTAAAATGAAAAAAAATGTACAATTTATAAAATGGAGAAATGTACGACGTTTCGGTGAATGTTGCCCAAGAAAAAGTCTATTTTTTTCGGATTCAACAAAAGAAAAAAGTTGTGAATTTACGGAAGCGGGGTAATAATTACGGCAATCCCATATCGTGTGAGACCCCACAATCGCGCGTCATTTTAGCACACCAGAACCTTAGCCCGGCCGTTAGAATTGCAATGAACTTGCATGCTTGCTGCAGTAAGCGGTGCTTCCCGAATCTACAATAGCGCTTCTAGCCTCGGAAATAGCAACCAAGCTGCGGAGATATACAGCCTGAGTTCAAATTGTAAAATTATATAAAATACTTTCTAGGCGTATCTATGCTTCGAGGCCAAAACTATAAAGAAATTATTCATTGATAATTTTGAGCACAATACGTTCCTGAGGTTTTGTATTACTTAAAAAGATTTCCCTGTATAACTACTGGCCAGCAGTATCAAAATCTGCTGTTGATATTAATATCCGGCAGCAGGAAAGAGGAACACTGGCAAAGAGGGATGGCAGTTTTCTTACTTCAGAGGAATGGCCTGCGAGTGAAACTGGAAATGTGAACAAAATACTCAGAACGTATTGAAATTTTAGTTGGATTACTGGGGAGTTCACCCTTCCGAAGATAAACTGCATGTAGCAACCCCAAAAAAGAAAAGTCAGCTGAAAACTTTTTTGGGCCTTATCAACTTTTACGAAACATTAATTCCTAATAAATCGGTGTTGTAACAACCCCTGAACAATTAATAACATTTGGATGTTGGTTGGAAATGGGACACACATCAGAAAACATTTTTTAGAGGCAAAACTGGTAATTACGCTCGACCAGGTTTTGACACATTATCACCCAGAGAAGCTGCTGATCTTGGTATGCGATGCGTCATCGTATGTGGTAGGAGTGGTTCTATCGCACTGGATGCTGAGTGGATAAAAAGCCTCGAAAGCGTTTGGTTCGAGAACACAGCTGCGGAAAAGAACTATGTTCAGAGGGATAAGGAAATTTTTTTAAAAGCGTTTGCACTGAAGAAATGTCATAGATAAATCTTGGGCCGCAGAGTCACAGACCATAATCCGTTACACGGAATTTCACAGGAAGGGAATCAGACACCCGACACATTGTCACTAAGAATGCGTCGTTGGCACTTGGGGAATTTGACTATAAATTGGAATAAAGACCTGGGAAACACCATCAAAACGTTGATGCTTTTAGTAGATTGCCATTGATTTGATTGCTGCAGGAAAGAGGACATTCCAGAACCAGCAGGATTCTCCACTGACGATCAGGACCATAGAAGAAGAGGAACATAAAGACAAAACTGCGCAGAGTGAAACGTAAAGTTCTCCATGGAAGAGTCGGGGATTTTCCAAATATCGAGCCGTTTGTCGCAGTAAAAGCCAGAAGACATATACTAAAGTTATTGCTCGGAAAGACGTCATATGTTTATAACAAATAATGTACTTCAGCTTCTGGGTCAATGACCCCCATCTCGTCCAGTTTCCCTGATTCTTGAGCAAATGTTGAGACGGCCCCTTGTTTTGCCTCTGGACGCAAATGTAGCTTGTACACGTAGGCTTCCGCGGCTCGAGTCCATTACTTCTAGGCTGTCCGGGTGACGCCGCGTCGTTGGCAGATAGGCCGACGTTTCGCCTGTCATGTCGCAGGCTTCTTCAGGGTACTGAACCTTCAATAACTGGTAACTGACATGTGTTATAATATAACGAAATATAACTGTCATGTTATATTTCGCTCCCTAAATATATGCTTTACTTTCGCCCAAGCAAGTTCATCTCACACATGTAATTGGGTTCATCTCAGACATGTAGGGAGGGAGTCGTACAACTGTATGTCCGTGTGCTGCTAGCAACTCATCGATCTTTTACTGCTTAGCCAGTGGTTTGAGAGGTGCAATTAATCGGTACAAATCAGTCTTACGCATACTTTCTTCATAATGCACTCCCTTTCTTTGAATCATGTCAGATTTTCGTGAGTATGCGGACGGCGTTTTGTTGACTTCCATACTGTGGTATGGAGCATTGCCAAGGATTCCATTTCTCAAAATTAATGCCATTCATTTGGCCGTGGTAGTCTCCCACAGTACTACTAGCTCGAAAGATTAGACACGTGTCGCAAAGAAATCCCTTTTCTCCCCCCTGCATGAACAATTATTAGTCTTGTACTTGTTGCATTTCCCATCACTTTGACACCACAAACGTTATCACTCTGCCAGCACTTTTGAAATTTAAGGGTGTTATCAACCCATGTCTCATCCACATAGATGATATCTCGGTTCTCTTCTCGAAATTGTTTCAATTGAACAATGAATCTGGATCTCCAATCCACTGTCCGATCTCTCTATCAGCACCCGCCGCTTTGATTGGCACCTTTTCCATTTAAAACCCATTGATTTCATATCCCGCAATAAAGATTTTGGGCCCCAAGGAAAACTAATTTTGCCCTTAATAATTGGAAGAAGCTTTAGCACCGTGGGCACTACCTTTTCTCTCATGAAGAAATCCAGAATCGTATTTCGAATGACACACTGGTCGAAACTATCAACATGGACAGAATTGCCACGTGACACTCTTCTCTTCTCACCAGGAGACTTGAGCTTCCGATTTGCGCTAATCTCATTCCTCTTTTTATTTTCTTTCCGAATGGCTTTGATGGTGGTGAGTCGAATTCCTGTGTATTCGGAGGCTCTTTCACTCGCTTTCATTAAAGGTAAATTTAAACATTTATCTTCTTTCTCCTTATCACATATTTCAATCACACGGGCAATGATTCGCGACCCTCGCTGTGTATAGTAGTGTTAGTAACTCTCTTTGCCATGATGAGAAACTAAAGGTTTTCACATGTTAACACTCGGGTCCTGCCACAAGCGAACTAGCCGCTCCGATGCTCTTGGAACGGTTGCGATTATGTTACGTGACATTGTGGGTGCAGCGGAAGCCATCCCCTCCTACCCTGCCGCTGGCCCCGCGCGAAAACTAGGACCCCTCTCCGGCGGTCGGAAAACTGGGACCCGGACAGTGGTCAGTCACCTACAGTCGCACACAAAGATGGAAGGGTGCGTTTCGGGGGCGGACGCTCGCTGGGGAATAATGGGTTAGCGGCGCACACGCAGCTGCGCGTGTGGATTTGTGTTAACGGCGATCTTCGCCCCGAAATATGTTGATAGAGCGTGACACAAGGGTCGCGCTCGCGACGGGTCATTAACACTCATTGCATTATCCCCCCCCCGTAAATTGAGATTAAAAAACGCATGGGACATGTTTTTTTAATCTACAGGTGGGAACAGAGAATGAATAATAATAATAAAAGACACGTTGAGTTGGGTAAACATAACTAAACAACTGTTGTACTGCAGGCACCAACGTTGATATGTCGAATAAAAAATCGGAGAGTGCAAATGAAGTTAAATATATCAAGATGTTAGGAAAACGAAAATAGAAAAAATTCTGATAACATATAACAAACCTAACACGATATAAGATAGTAGTGAACTAATTAGATGAATAAAATTCATTGACAAGTAATGCTAACTCTGAACACTCAATAACCTATAAACTTAGTAAACGATACCTTTAAAAATAATGGAAAACGATAAAATCAATTATTACAGAACAAAATTGAAATAATTTACTTAGTTTAATTGGACAATGCAAAATGATGAGGTCGTGAATGCCACAAGGACATACTGAGTGCTAACTAAAATACTAATCGGCAAATCAACCATAGGAGTAATTAAATACAAGGCTTAAGATAAATTAAAAATAGAAGACATCAACACAGTACCTAATGCTAGTTAAACTCTACTGCAAAGGAATTAGAGTGATAAGCTGTGCAAGATAGTTTATTTAGAAGTTGGAACCTCATTATTAAAAACGTCTTTGAAACAATTGAAAACGTTTGATAAGATAAAAAATTAAAGAACTGTTATTTTTTCATATTAATGGATTTAACATAATTATCAATTGTTATCAAATTATTTTAATCTCACGGTGTGAGTAAAATTGTCAATAAAATAGTAACTCGACAAGTGACTGGTAGACAAGAGAAAACGACTTTTAAACATTTTTTTGGGATTGTCAAGAAATTAAATCTCTGGCATCAAATAATAGTTTCATACATTACATACATACAGCAGTGGCTACAACTTTCTTCAAATCTCAACAATAATACAATTAATGGGACTTCTCAATTCTTCTCTTTCTTTTCCATCAACAATAACGCATATAGCATAGTGAATGACTTATAATCTTTCTTATCTTTTTCTTAACAGGACATATTTAACTACGTTCTTCTATAACAACACTTCTTTCCGAACTATTCAAGTAGTAGCGATCCCAAGAAATTAATTAATAATAAAACGTGCAAGAGTGACCGCGCGGTATCTACACAAAATAATGTAACCTAGTCAGAGCGACATAAATGAGAGCTTTTATTATTCTGTTAGCCAGTTAATCGGTCTAATCTCTGAAAGGAACAAGGTTATAAAAATTGTGAGGACCGACATCTGTACTACGTAATTTGCAAGCGGGCGCTACAAGCTTAATAATTTGGTAAGGACCTACGAATAGGGGAAAGAATTTACTGATTAAGCCTTCAGGCTGATTTGATACTCTGAGGGCTTTGACCAAAACTTTGTCACCTACTTCAAATAGATGGGTTTTACTTTTCTGGTATTGTTTTCTCGAATTACCAGCGTTATTTAAATTGGAAAGAATTACTTGAAACCTATCATCAGGGGAAATATGTATCTGGGTGACCAATTTGGCCAAAATAGGGAATAATGGTTTTGGCTTCTTATTAAATTGACCATCGAAAGGTGTGAATCTGGACGATTCATGAGGAATGTGGTTAAGCGACGTATTAATTTTCGTTAATAAATCAGACCAAGTAAAGTCATATGTTTTTACGTCATATATGTTTATGCGAAACATAAACCCGAAACAAACGTGAGAATTCTTTCATGACTCTTTCGCTTGGGTTAGATGTTGGTAATCTGATGGAACTGATCACTGTTTGTACACCTAGATCATTCAGCGATTTCTGCCAAAGAGCACTCGTAAACTGCCTGCCATTGTCCCTAAGGACACGCTGATAAGTTCCACATTCTTTGAAGAAACCTTGCACTAAGTGTTTTAAACAAGATTGCAGTAGGTTTAACAACAGGAAAACACTTAACATATTTGGTAAATGCATCAATAATGTAACGGTACAAGCTCCTGCGTTGGGAAATTTCCATGAAAAAAAAAGAAAGAAAAAAATAGTAGACGCCCGCGACGCAGCTGCGAGAAAGGGGGGTCGTAGGCATTCGCGCCCGTTCGCCTATTGAGGCGAGGGTTGTATAAAAGTTGATGGCAGGACACCCCCGCGCCAAATGTCAAGTGGGTGCCGCCTATTCAAGCGACCACTCGTAAAATGAACCCCAACGCTAAGTGCGCCGTCTCGGGGGAAGAATTTACAACCAGCGGCGCACGTGCGGTGCGAAGAAAACAGGCCGATAGTTTTTTACAACAGCAACGGACATTCTGACCGTTTAAGAAAGAACTCCCGTGTGATTGGTCAGACACACGCCTCCACCCTGCTTCGGGAAATTCAAACCCGTGTATCGGGAGGATACACGTTCTTTGGAGGGAGGGGGTATCGAGGCTTGATGTAACTAGGCCGCCGCTCTGTAAGCACTGGGTGGCTTGAGAGGGCCGCGAGTGGTCGATTCGAAGGGGTGGCTTGAGACGGCCGCGGGTGGTCGATCACTTGGTTGCTTGACACAGCCACGAGCGATCGATTCGACTTGGTTTGATAACTCGGCCACGAACGGTCGATTTCAACTTAACTTCCTAACTCGATCGATTCGACTTGACTTTATAATTCGGCCACGAGAAGTAACTCAATGTCTTGACTCGGCCATGAGTAATCAATTGATTTCGATCTCGAATTGATAGTTCGGTCATGAGTATTGACTTCGCTTGCTCAGTTAATCAAGTAGCATTCGAAGCATATTGCGGAGGGAAGTTGTTTGGCTTCCATTCATCGCCGATGATCACCGTGGCTGTGTGAGGTTGGTGACGCTGATTGGAGTAGTGGGCCCCAGGGAGCGCGGCGACATCAAACGGCCACTCTGGGAACCCCTGTGTTCACCGCCTCTGCCTGGAAGGGGGCGGCCCGAACAGGGACGACGGCGGACTACACCACCGGGCATGCTATGAGGCCCGCCAACAGAAACGAGGGCAAATAATCCGCTTAGCTCCCGCATAAATGCGGTCGAACACTTACTGAGCGAAGCGAGGGGGTGGAAAATACGCTGCAAATTCATTGGTATGAACTCCTAGCCACCATGATGGCATCTACCAGAAATGTATACTTCTGAGTAATACATTTCAGAATCACTTCGTGGTTTATCTGGGAAAACATCTGTCCGTATGTGTTCCACTAAGTCTGCAACTTGAGAGGAGAACCAAGTTGCATTAACAGCATTTGCTGTATACGACTCTTAGTTTTTGCCATTTTGAGGGTTCCATTTGCAGTGAGCGGCACATTTCGAATCAGCTTCTCAATCTGCCTGACATAAAATACAAGTCCTTTTTGAGGCAATAAACAGTCCTCATTATTCTTCTATTTTAAAGATCTGAAGAAAGTAATGTCATCATCACTCTGGCAGCTAAGTCCATTCCCAATGCAATTCCTGGGCATTTCAAAATGTTGACACTTTTCTTGCTATAACATAACCAGCAATGTTAGAACAAACTATGTTATCTGCTGTATTGACATAAATCACATAAAAAATATATATAGCGGAAATCACTTTCTGTCGTTGGTGGCTGTAGATTCGTTTTCCAAATCTAGCCTTCGTAAATTCCAAGAAAATCACTGGATCACAAATCAGGTGTCTGCACTTCATTACCATTAACATAAATCGTGACGCCAACTCTGGAAATTCTTTCCAAGCAGCATTAAGGCTATCAAACATTATTTACAGCTTACTCTGCGCTTGTTGACTTTCATCATTGTTTCATCACTACGTTATACTCCAAAGTTCAACATGCCAACAAATTGTAGCACACCATCCCATTCATTGAAACTTTTACATGGGACATTTCGCTCAAATCATGACTGTGTCCCATAAATTGAATGAGGAGAGTTTTTACTCTCTGCTTAAGGCTTCAAGAGCTTCTGAGTGAGAAACCTGTGCTGCCATCAAACAGTGTTTGTACCATCTACGAATATGCTATGCAGCGGCAACGAATATTGAAGAGCTTCTCTAACAAATCTGTAGCAGCAGGAGAATAAAATTAGATTACATGCCCGAAAGATTTAGGTGTGTTTACAGAACTGTTTGTTGCTGGATTTTTTCAATTCCTGATCCAAACGAGTCTCCCAGAACATCATGATCAATACATTCCATTAGTTCATATCACGCAGACTTTGTATTCATCAAGACTCTTTCTTTCTGCAATGCACATGCAAGCAACTCTCTTAGGTGTTAAGAATCTTCCTATCTTAAGGGCCACTACATTTCTGTTGTTTGAAAAAGTTGCTTCCTAGGCTCGTTTCAAACAATCGTCCTTTACGCCTGAATAACACATCAAGTTTCCGTTTTCAGAAGTCTTGGGACACTTGAAATGTGGTAACCATGCTCTTTTCAAAACATGTTCCAATCGATGAAGATGGTTGGATTTCATCGTGATTTTTCATGCGTTCTGCTTGCAAGTACACTGGCGCTAGCTGCTGGTGGTTTTCGCTCTTTCGACACCTGCAAAATCCTGACAATAGAATTTAAACTGACAACATTTGATAAATTGGACGTTATTGATACATATTTTCAATTGGAATAACAATTTCAACAATGCAAAGTGAAGAATAGTTTACTAATATGTTTATAACATTTTGTATCCCAAAATTTATTATGACATTTCTCCCTAATAAATACTATAACATATTTATAGACATACTATAATTAGTCATGCTATGGCACAAATGCTTAGAAAAAAGAGCACGTACATAACCTCTCACATTGTTGTAATAAAACAACTGAATTTGGAATTGAGCTTGGTGTAACATACATTACATTTACAAAACATTAAAAACGAAAAAAATAGTACATACCTAACCAATGTGGTTTGGATACATTAAACTTTGTAGGAACAGCATCAGGTTCAGCTTTTATTATATCTACAGAGTAACCTGTAGAACGCAGCTGTCTTCCGAAATGTCAGAAACAACATGGCATGGTGGTGCGGTAGTTTAAACCCCAATCGTCTGGACATTCCCTTATCCACTCCTCGCAAAGTCTTGGTCTTCGCAAGAGGGAAACTACAATAGAAATTTAAGTTAAAATACGGAAGAAAATGTATTACGCGTAATATGTTCCCACATAGTCAACAAGTTTACCGTTAGAAGGAATATTCTGCTTCCCTTTCTCCCTATGCCTGTTGCTGCAATTTATTGCAAGCACAAGGAAATCCACCATTGTTAACACTGCACAAAATACTCACCGCCAAACAATCACTCCTTACACTTCACAGTAAG